TTCCACGGAGCCTAGCAAACTCCGTGAGTGTGTATCCAGAGCTCTGTTCGTGTTTGTTTTGTGGAGCCTAGCAAACTCCACGTGTGTCTTTTTGTAACTGCAACTCAAGAAAGTTTTTCCTGCCTGCACCGTGACCACCTATGGTATAAGTAAAACAATCTTTAATCAACCTCTATGCGTCAGTGCCTAATTCTAGTTCGCCGTGCCGACCTTTTCCCCGGCCCACGTGCCCGGGCTGCTGGCCACAGCCCCTCGGCCCCGACAATATGTATGAACCAAGATATATAAAATGCAAAAAGAACTAATGTTCAGTGCAGGTCCCCAGTTTGTTGTTTTCTGGGACCTTTGTCCAAAGCTGTCCCCATTCTGAATAAAGCTGTTGCGAGTAATGTGTGCTGGTGTTTGCTCTGACTAATGCGTAACAGGATCCATGAGCAATTGGATCATCGTCTCCCTAGTCGTTGGGCATTGCATAGGGACAGGGTCTAACAATACCTAATGAGAGAACTGGAAACATTGATATTAAGGAGTTAATTTGTGCAAGAGGCTAGTTCAAGCATTAAATATTTATTTAGGAATACGGATAATGTTACAAGTCATCTTTAAACCATTCTAAAAGGCACTTAAAAATGGGAGGGTTAAGACATTAAAGGGTGTTAAACAGTGCTACTGTGATTAGTACCCTCCAAAGCTGCCTCTACATATGCTTGGGGGGCATTTTAATTAGAGTGGTTCCCAGGCAGCTGCTCTAATTAAAACACCTCACTGTCATGTGTATTAAGCCTCAACTCTTTACCTAAACCTCATTTGTTGAGGTTTAGTTAAAGCACCCTGTGGCCATTTTAAAACACATAGGACATGTCCAGATGAGTGCAGTCATGCGGTATGTGGCGTTGCAAACATGTTTGCAGCATCACATACTGCGCAGTCTGGTGTTCTTCGCGCGTACTGCTGAAAAGCGGAGCTTTTCTGGCCAGGCTCCGCTGGGCAGAATCACCACAGCTGGAGTCCCAGGAAGCCCCCAGCACCCCAGGTAAGGCTGCTGGCTGGCCCCAGCCTCCCCTGTTGTCCCTGGGGAAGCTTGCCATGTACCAAAACGTGCATAGCACAGGTGTCCCTGGGGAACCAAACATCCATACACATCTGGATGCACCTACAGGGGCTTAATACACATGACACTGTGGCAATACTGCAGCATTCTAATTAGAACATGAAACAGACTTGATTAATCAAGTCTGCTCTCATGCATTCTGTTAGACTGACTCCATGCAACACCTAACAACTGGATAGCAATGGGCCAGCACATGCATTGACTTCACAAAGCAGCTTTATTGTGAGCGAGCACTCGGGATACCCGTAACTTGAGTGACCCAGAGTATCTTTTCTAACAGTCTTTTACTAAGCTTGATTTACATAGAGACCCCACCTTGTTCCCTCCCTTTTCCCATCTTATAATCTTGTCCCTGTTTACTATTTACCTGCTTTGCATATTATGATATTCCCCTCCCATATATGGCATTTTATTTCCACCCCCTACTATGACCATTAGTGCCTTTTATCATTTCTAAGTGTTGCTAGGGTTGTTATCTACAGCACATTCTTGTTGCTTCTTGTTCCCCTTCCCTGTACATCTGCGGCCTTCAGCATATTCACATCCTGTTATCTTTCTGGCCTAACACATTCTAATTAGAACTACTAGCACATGTATAGGCAGCCTAAATGTCTTAAGGTTACACCACTTCAGGGAAGGATCATGTTTGAGCCATTCTACCCAGATCAAGCTAGGGTATTGTCAGTCCAGAGATAAAACAATCAATTTGGAGCCATCCAGGCTGCATAACTCCCAGTCCTTATACTCCTGACAAGCTTCCCAGCCTCCCAAGATCTACTGCCCAGGGGGTGATACTGGTCTCAAGCCCACATCCCCACCACCCCCAGTGAGTATGACCCTAGCTCATGGCCACCACACTGCCAGCTCCAAGGACCTCAGGAGACCCATCTGAACCCCTGGTCTGTAGGCTAGGCACACTGAGTTCCATGTTCTGGCCATGCTTAACCCCTCAGGCTGCTCTGCTCCTGAAGGAGGGCTACCATCTTGACTCCTAGCTACACCCCTGCTCACCAGACCTATCAGTGGCAAGTTACAATTGTGCAGATCACAGATGGCATTAAGCCTTAACCTGTGAGAACTCTGAAACTGTTCTAACTTTAAAACTACCTAACACTCCACAGATTTAGAATGGTTTAAAGGTAATAGTAACAGCACCTTAAGTTCCAATTCTTTTTCTTTCCTTGAAATTTCACAAAGAGCAAAGATATGCCAAATGTTAAAAAACAGAACACTCTCTCAGAAGTGAAAGGTTCCTTTGGAGGGTTATAAGATATACAGGACTCTTCACCGAATAATTTAAGGAAAGGGTGAAGCAGCCAAGTAAGCATTCCCACCTCAGCCACATACTACAATTGAAGCACCTAGAAAAAAAAACAACAAAAAACCTTTATTTATCACTTTATTTAAAACCATAGTTTGATACATTACAATAGGATGTGATAGGCATTAACATTTAAATCCCATACAACTTATCAACAAATAACTTTTCTGTAAGAAGCTTTTCCTATTCTATAAGAATTCTTTCCTATGATTCTATGAATTAGAAGGAAAAGAGTGCATGTGTTCAAAGAAGCATGTAAGGGGCAGCATCCATATAGTGGACAAGTGAAGTGCATCTTAAGATTAATGTTACATGTTAAGTATCCAAGTCAATGTCAAACCCCTGCTAGATGCACACACATCCCCGTAATAGGAGGTTTCCCACAGGAAGATGAACAAATAACTCCAATTCCTATAGTGGGGGACACATGCCCTCAGCAGGGAACAATCTACATTTTAGTCAAGTAATTTAGCATTGGTCTCAAGCTATACTTTGGTTGGCCAGCAGGTGAACCAGAACCTGTCCAAGAGAATTCAAACAGAACTCTGTACTGCTTTGAGTGTCTACATACCCAGTCTAGGGAATGAAAAAAATTAGAATCCTAGTAAAGCTCTGTCCCTATTAATTAGCAATAACTGAGTAAATCAAAGAGACACATGATCCCACTGGGTTGCACCCCTATGGGGGAATCAGTGCATTAGGGGAAGCTTAAAATCTCAGTGTGGGTGATCCAAAGTAGAATACACATGGCCTCAAACATCCATTGAAATTAAGAAAAGGCTTTGAGTATAGACAGAATCTCAAGGCAGTACTTTCAATCTTAAAAGGTAATCCAGATATTCCAAGATTAAATTAAAGAGGGGGAGAGGAATGGTTTTTAGGATGGATATGAAGGAAGTCAAAAGAGTTTAACAAGACTTGATGCCTTTCCTGCCCTTTTTTCCCCACTAAAGGTTCAGGTTTTGTCTACCACAGATGTAACAGGGTAAAGAAGAGAACCCTGTTACTTGGTGACTGGGCAAGGGTCACAGAGAGGGTAGAGTGACTCAATTGCTTAAGAAGGGAAGGGGTTAGAGCAGCGGTGGGCAAAATCTGGCCCATGAAGCCATTCTATCCGTGGGGCCCCTAAAAATAATTAGAAAAATTAGTATTTATCTGCGCTTGGTTCTTGTCAAAAATGACAGGAACCAAGGACAGTAGGACCCAGGGGAAGCCTGGTGAGCTCCCACAACAGCAGAGCCCACCAGGCCCTGCCCCCACCAGCTGGAAGCCCCAGCGGGGGCTTCTGGCCTGGGACCACATGACTGGCCTGCACCAGAACTTCAGGTAAGGGGGCAGGGAAGGACCCTGGGGAAAAAGAGTGGCCCGGGGAAAAGTTGAGTGCTGGGGGGGCGGGGGGGGGGGGGTGTCCTGCCATTCAGGCGGGCTCCCCTCCCCCCCCCCCCCGGCCACACCCCCGCTGCGGCTCTCCTCAGCCTGCCTGGGGCTGCCTGTGTCTGCTCTGGACAGCTCCATGCGAGCTGCGAGTGGTTGCAGCAGGGAGCGCATGCCACGGGGCGGGAGAGGGGCCTCTTTTCCCAGCACTCAGCACCAGCCTCTTCTCTGTCGATGAGCAGGGGGTCAAGGCTGTGTGCTGCCCCCTGCCTGTACCACAGGGCCGGGGGGCACTGGGAGTGAGTGGGCGTGGGAGCACGGGGCCCACACCTGTGTCCCAGGGCCGGTGCCAGTGGGGCCCAGAGCAGGGTGGCAGGAGCGCAGGGTCCCAGCTGGCAGGAGCTCTATTGAACTGGGCCAGCTCTCCCCTTTCCATGCTGGTGCAGCCCAGTCCGGCTCCACAGACCCCTGCCAGCCTGTGCCCCACTTTGGGTCCCACTGGTGCTGGCCCTGGGACATGGGACCAGTGTCCCACTGTCTTGGGGGGACCAAAGACATTGGGACATTGGTCCCAAGATGGCCCTCAAGGGGCAGGGCACCCCTCAACAGCCTGCCAAAACTGAGTAAGCAGCCCTCCACCTGAAATAATTGCCTGCCCCTGAGTTAGAGAAGGGGCAAGTTTAATAGCTAACTCACGATAACACACCAGGAGAGAACAAGGAATATCAAAGCAGATGCGGCCACCGACCACATGAAAAACAGACACCCAGAGAAAGAGTTTGCCCTCTGGGCACCTGAAGAAAGGAAGAGAACACAGCGGACAACTGATGGAGTATCTCCAGTGCGGGGACTCCCAGTTAAGATAGGACTGTGCAAGACCTGGGGAATCACAAACCTGTGATTGGCTGGTGAGAAGTGGGGACACTTGCCTAGGGTCTCAGAGGCAGCAAGGACTGCTGAAGATGGGCTTAGGGGAAACAGAAAGAAGAAATTAAAAAGGGGATTAGAAGCATAAACTGGCATGAGGCAACACCAGAAGCTTAAAGGACTGGTGAAGAAACAGCATCTGGGTAGAGGGTTTGCCAACACAGTTCGTTATCTTCTGTAGACTTTGCACAATAAATGAACCAATTCAGTTAAAACCTACCTGGGTGGCCAATGATTGAAAGCCTCTTTAGGGAATAATTACTCTTCCTTCTCCCAGCTCAAGTTGTGGCAGGCAAGCTCTGAGTGAGGCTAGGGAGCCTTATCATCCCTCTCACAATGGAAGATGATAGTGATTGAAGTAGTTGGAGTGTTACAACAGAAAAGAGACAGGAAACTTAACAATTAGGAAGGGAGGAATTTAGATTACTTATAATTTAATCTATTTACTTGTAAATAGATTAAATTTACCTTACCATTTAGCAATGCCTAAAGGACACTTGGAGGAAGATTTAAGATTCAACAAATTGCTTTTTTGAACAAGGTACCTGAACTCACAATGAACAGGATGAAGCTCCCTGAAGCCTTTCAGCAAACTGAGGAGGAAGGAGGAAACGAGAGAAAAGGAAGTGAAAAAGGGAGAAGAGGCTAAGGTAAAAAAGTCAAGAGGTAGAAATATGCCAGTATTTTGGAAGACAGTGTCCAGACCTTTATTGTCAGAAAAATGGAACAAAAAGATTACAAATCACAAAATAAAAGCTTTGATAGCCAAATCCTCTTTGGGTTTTCCTGAGTGCTTACTATTTTTGTTTAAATAAAAACAAAAAGGCCCCCCTCTACATGTTACATGTATTAAATAATTAACTGGGTAATTGCACAATTAATTTAGACTGGCTATATGTGCAAAGTAACAATCACACCAAAAAGAGTCCATCCAACTATAGAGTTAGAGCTGGAAAATATGTAACAACTTTATAGCTGGTTTCTATCCAGCTTTCATTTACATGTGTAGCAAGGTATTCCCTTGCAGCTGGGAGCCCTGTCTGATGCTGGATCCCCTAATCACAGCTCCTGCCATCCATATGTAACATGGCAGGAGATGCAATTATATGGATCATGCATCAGATCCTATGATGCTTTAGCAGAACATCTAGAGGGGCCCTAACAGACATGGGTACGGAGAACTGCTCTAGAAGACTCAGGAGGCTGAGGATCCAGCAATCAGAAATACCCAGGAAACACATTTTTAAGTGCTTTCAGGACAACAGTTACCAATTAAGACATTTTTCATATAGGAAAAAACAGAAGGTAGAAAATGAAGAAAGTAGTATCTCTTATAAAGGTTAGTGGGAACCCACCCACCAAGTAGCACATGAGAGATCACTCTCACATACATAAAAGCAGATATATAAATCTTAATCAATTTTCATAACCAATACTGGCATAGGTAGCACAACCAGCTTTACTTTGTCTATTATGTCTGTGTCTTGCACAGCTGAGTATGAAAGAGGAAGTACAAGTAGCATCTTCACTATTGTTATTTGTCTACAGGGTAGCCATAATTCTGAACAAAAGTCTATTGTTGTATGGCTGCCTAATGCATGAACACTGCATCCAAACAGTGCAATGCAAGTAGCTCATCCTGGCATTCTGGAAGCAGTGTACTTGGCTACAGCTAAACCAGTGGGTAGAAAGACAAGAGACAGAGGGGCACCACTGTAGTAAGCTAGTTCCAGTGACAAGGATCAGGATGCTCTTGCCATATTATTTATTGCACTGTGCTCCTTCCAGGAAAACTGGGGCCATCTTTTCTCATGTCACCTCCTTACCAATCAGCTGTATTTTACCGATTAGGAAGCCAAAAGTTAGGAAGTCAAAAGCCTTTACATACTGGCACTCAAAGAAATCCATTTGGATGACACTTGTCATGTATCGACTAGGAACTGAACACTTTTTCAGAACAGCAGTCACCATCATTCAAAGCTAGCTGGATATGTGAGGCACAGCTCAATACAGAAAAGGAATTACAATTTTCCTGGATTTGGGGTAGTCTTCAAATTTTTCCAAGTACCACCTGCAAAAAATAAAAACCAACCTAGTTAATATTACATCTTCAAAGCATTAAAAGAGAAGACAGTCTATTGTAGGAAGCTTTCAGAGAAACATTTAATCCACACTTCAATTGCTTTAAAACTATAAAATGACATCTCCTAGCCTTACTCTGCATGTCAAGCTATTTTAAAGTTACCATATGCATCCTCATAAAGGGGAGGAGTGCTGACTGCAAAAATTAAAACCAACCTACTGCTGCCAATGATTTAGAAATCAAACAGGCATTCTGTTTGTGAAGCCAGTGCAAAGAATGGACCAGTATCATAAAAAGCTTAACATAATGGCAGCTGAGCATTGGGATGATGTAAAACGGAAGCTATGGAATATGGTATGAAGGAACACTTGCAAAATGAAATGAGAGTTTTATTCTGGTAAGGAAAAACTTAAGAACAGATTAGAATGCTGATAAGTAGTTTAGATCGGGAAAGA